ATCATCCCTTTTATGCAGTGAGAGAAGAACTCGCTGTCACACCAAACAGTCTCTTGCTCCGTGCAAATAAGTTGATCATTCCAACAAGGCTTAGAAATGAAACCATGACACATGCCCACAAAGGTCATCAGGGCATTGTCAAAACAAAACAAGCCCTGAGGACAAAAGTGTGGTGGCCGCGAATTGACAAAGATGCGGAAGAATTTATTAAGCATTGTCACGCATGCCAGTCTCTCGGGCATGGTGATCCGCCACCGCCTCTTCAACAACACAAATTGCCCTCCAAACCATGGGATAGACTTCACATGGATTTTAGCGGTCCATTTCCCACGGGGGAAACACTTTTTGTTGTCATTGATTCATATTCAAAGTTCCCAGAAGTGGAAATAATGAAATCCACTACTGCCAGCGCCGTCACGAATCGCCTGGACAGAATTTTCGCAGTTCATGGCATTCCCACTGAAATCTACTCGGACAATGGTCCACCGTTTGCTAGTGATGCAGTGAAGAAATTCATGCGAAATCGCGGAATAAATCACCGGCTTGTAACACCTTATTGGCCACAGGCCAACGGGGAAGCCGAGTCGTTCATGAAGCCCCTCGGTAAGGCTGTAAAAGCAGCGAAAATGGAAGGAAAGGATTGGAAAGAAGAGCTACATGGTTTTCTGTTAGCTTACAGAACTACACCACACTGTACCACCGGGGTAGCACCAAGTCAACTGTTGTTCAATCGCGAAGTTCGTACGAACATGCCAACTTTTGTAAAAGAGGGGGATATTGATTACAAGATTTTACACGAACAGGCTAAGATAAGTACGTCAGAGAAGCAGTCGAAAGCGCAGCAGTATACAGATAAAAGACGACGAGCTCGGAAAGCAAACATCGAAGTAGGAATGAAAGTTTTGGTGAAACAAGAACGAAAAAACAAATTTAGTACTGTTTTTGATCCAACACCTTTGACTGTAACGAAAGTTAATGGCACAAAGATAACCGCAGCGAGACACAATCTCACTACCACCAGAAACGTATCGCATTTCAAAAGATTTTACTCGAAAGACGAAAGTGCTGATGAACAGGAATGCGACGACAGCGCTAGCGATGTAACGGACGATGAAGATAATAACGAACAGCCACAAGATATTCCACGAAGGTATCCGGCAAGAGTACGAAGAAGACCTCGGTTCTTGCGCGAAGAAACTTAACTGTTAAAATATTGGTACTATTGTTTAGGTTGACATTTAAACCAGAACTATTGAATTTTGGTCATAATTTAGGTGCATGATTGTTTGCATAAGTATATTTCATATTCTAAAGTAAAAGGGAGATGTTGTGTTCTAGTAGCGGAAGTGCGTATAGACGGAAGTGAACTGGTAGCGGGATTCGGGGAAGAGGACTTACGGGGAAGGACAGACACAGAGACACGAGGCATAGATGAAGCGATGTATATATTTCATAATAGTTTCCTATAAGTATTAACGTTCACATTACATATCTATATTGTTTCTTACAATATAACAATGACTTGATGCCACCTTTCGACCAACATTAAGGAAACTAACTAAAAATCAACAGGCACTTTCATGTTTCCCAAATGGGCAACCATCCCCTCCTAGTGCTATTAAAAATGTACCCTCAGTTTTACCGTACAATTCTAAAGCATGTTTTCTATCGGTACTCAAATAGAACTTGGCTAAACGTGGCAAGTACTCTCTTAGATCTCTGTATGCGCCATTGATGGGTGCATCCATTTCTAAGTCACTGAGGTACTCCTTATTGATTTCCAAAACATTTCCAATATCAATTTTGTTCAACTCTCTTACAAGGTTATTATATGTTAATATTTTGGGTACCTTGCAGCATGGAAAAATTAATATGCCCGTTCTCCCACCTTGTTTGCTTGATGTCATTGAAAGCACAAGCCTAACACTTTGATATTTTCTCTTGCCCATGACACCACTGGAGTAAAATGTAGCAATACTCCTTTCCGCATTTTCTTTTGATTTTTCAAAATCTTTCAACTCTTTTTTGTAATGTTCAGAAACTACAGTTTTAGTTAAATTCTCATTACCTAATACATAATTTGTTAAATCTTTCATCTTGCATCGTTTCTGGAGGGTGTCGAACATCCCATCATAAGCAGGCTTTAAATTCTTCTTGGATGCACCATAGATTGCTGATACCGCTGTCATGGTTTCCTGCCTCCTTTTTGTTGCTGTTCGAATTGGCATATTTGATACCCCATTCTCCAATGTCGTATCTTTTCTTGTCCTTGTCTCAGAATTACAGGGCTAACAATACAAATTAATTAGGATCATCAAATGGTCACGGCCCATCTCAAATCCCACTTACCATCACGAACAAATTATATTAGAGGTAATTGAAGCCATTGTTGCCGAGCCAAAATAACAAGGCCAAAATAGTTGAACTGCACAGGCAGGCAATATATTAGCAGTACTGGTATTGTCGTTAAATAATAAAATTGTAAAAAACCTGAAAAAAGTGTTCGAAAATCATAATTGTTTATCTGACGAGGTATTTCATGCATGAAAGTCCAGAATCTTTTATATCATTAATTAAATTTGCAGTATATATAACCTGTGCATGTAAATAGTTGACTGTTATTGTAAATTGTAAAAATTAATGCATAGATGAACCAAAATATGCTGATGTAATTAACCCATTGAGTCGCATTGCACCCTGATGCACCCTACTTTAGTAATTTACTCTGTCTAACGCCAGACGATTTTACTCGTCAAGGGGAGAGCGCTGGCCCATAATGGGTTAATGTCCAATATTTTCACCTTGATGAGTAAAATCATCTGGCATTAGACAGAGTAAAATAACAAAATATAGACATATTACGGCTTAATGCGTTTAATCCTACTATACCACATGATTTGATTTGTCGCAGAAACTCACCATATTGTTTTCCAAATCAGATGTCAAAGCAGCTATTTTTTCCTTTGCTTTTACAATCTGCATAAAGGTAAATGTTTATATTAATAACAAAGTTAAACATTTACTGACAGTAAATAGAATGTTAATATCTGAATAACAAATACATTGCTTAGGTTTCTATACCTTGGCTTGAATTCTCTCGCTTTTCTTGTGCTCCAACGGTAGCGATCGATGATTTAGAACAGCTTTAAACCTTGCTTCTTTCCTTTCTTTCAGATACATTGCAATGTTAAAACGTTTATCTTTGGTATTAGGCATTTTCTTTGGAAATCTTTTAAATGCGACTTCTGTGCATCTGCGAATCCTTTATGAATAACACGAGGAAAACAACTAAGTATTAGGTCCTGTTACTCTCAAACGGAGACAAAATTTTACAAACAAAAATCATACGATGCTCACCAGAGGTCTTAAGTTTTTTTACAAATGCAATTTTTCAAGGATTGACAAAGGATGCCCAATTTTATCCGAGAGAAAACTACAATCGCGTGCAAAAATTGTTGAGACAAGCAGTTTATTGACCTTCCCCCTCCTGTAACAATGGTTTTTGCCCCCCCCCCTTCCCCCTTGTGCAATGTTGTTAAAACGATTTTGAGGTCAGGGCTTATCAAATAATATGTTTTCAACATTGTTAGTGGGGGGAGGGGGGCACGCACATGAAAAAAATCACCAAAATGTGAAGAGTCTCATTATTTTTGCACGCGATTGTAGTTGAATTTCACAAACTGTGCAGTATCGTCCAATTTAGTCCTCAAAAAGGCGAAATATTCTATTATTTCTCGTGGGTTTACGCCACTATTTGGTATTAAAATGATCCATGAAGCATCTCCTTTCCATATTTGCTGTTCACTTTCGACCCAGACAATACCATGAGCCTCAGCGAAAGAAAAAACGATGACTAATTAATTCGTTACCAATCTCCTTGGTAAAACACGGAAAATTCGCGCAATTTTTAATGACATGCAAACGTAACTGCCGAAAATCATTGCTTGCTGACCCGACGTGCATAGCAAGCACATGCCATACACTGAGTAATATTAGAAGATGAGCTATAATTGCAATGCTGTCAAATGTGACTGCATTTCAAAAAATCACATATATTAAAGTATACATGTCAACTTAGCAAATATTTAACAAGAAATACAACATACATGTATACCACACAAAAGCTCCGTTTACACGAGTAAATTTTATTTGACAATTTTCATATGTCAAAGATATTTTGCTCGTGCAGATCATAAATTTTTGACAAATTTATTGTGACAAATGCATTTGAACAAAAGCTAGCATGCTAGCTTTTGATCAAATGCCTTTGATCAAATGAAATTTGTCAAATAAAATTTGCTCGTGTGAACGGGACTAGAGATTGTAGATTAGACTTATGGACTTCTGATAATACAAATTAATCGAAAATTAAAACTGAACGTCTAGATCGGCGAATCGGCGGCAAAGCGACTAAAATACAGGCCTTCGATTTAAAAATATAACTATACAGTATATCAAGTAATTTTCCGCGCACAAATTAGTAAATACACAACAAAACATACCTTTGAAAACAAATTCCAAGTATCTTATTTGGTCTTTGGAACTTTATAAGTAAAAAATTTGAATATCTTTCCTCATTGAATGTTTGCTCCCAAAGGATTGAACTTGGCGCTTGGTCTTTGTACCAGTCAACCAGATCAGACCAGTCAGAGGAGGTTGGAAGCCCTTCCCGGCATGCATTGTAACTCATTAATATTATCGATTTCCCGGAACGCGCTGTCATTGTTCGACTAGCTCTTGTTGTGTTCACTACTCAATTTACAAGGAGGGTATTCAAAAGTACAAATTGAAAATTGTATATCATGGCGAATTTTCGTACTGTTCGTGGCATCAAAGCTACTGATTTAGATGGACGTGACAATCTTTATGTACATTGTGTGACGAAAGAGCGACTGGAACTGCTTCGTGAAGGGGGTAGGGGTAAAACGCAGAAACGGAACGGACGGCGGAACCGGAAAAACGGAAACGGAAAAGAGGATAAAACGCGGAAAAGAGGGTAAAACGCGGAAAAGAGGGTAAAACGCGGAAAAGAGGGTAAAACGCGGAAGAGAGGGTAAAAATGCGGAAAAGAGGGTAAAACGCGGAAAAGAGGGTAAAACGCGGAAAAGAGGGTAAAACGCGGAAAAAAAGTTTTAAAATAGTTTTTTCTTTACGAGGTAGGTATGTAGCTTGGTAAAACTATATTTATTTAAAAACATTATACACACTAGTCCCTTCAACTATGATTTCCACGAAGGGAGTGTGTTATGTCATAAAAAAGCTACATACGTTTACGTATTCTGATACTATTAACAACCCTGATAACTCAAATATTAACCTCAATTAACCTACATAACTACTGGGGTCTATAATAATAGTACAAAGGGGACCCAACTTGCAGAGCGGGGCCCCTGGAATGCTGGAATTGTGGAACGTGGTAAATATTAAGGAATTTTCTGCAAAAATGAAGTAAAAAATGGTATGAATAACTACATTTAAGCCCCCATTTAAGCCCGAGATTGCAGGATTGATTGTGTTTGCTTACTTAAAGATCTACTGAAACCAAAATCTGTGACTTTCCAGAAAATTGGGCAATTAGCATAGATGCGCGCAAACGTATCTTTGTCTTTCTGGCAATAGTGCTGGTTGGAGACCAAAACGTTTTCAGGTTTTAAGTCTCTATGAGCGATACTGTGGTTGTGGAGGTAATCGAGTAATCCCTAATACATACGACAAGAACATCGGCGAGCGATTTGAAATCAAATTCATGGTCAATGAAGTGGTAGAACTCTCCAATATTGGTGACGCTTTTCTCAATTCCGAAGGGTTGAAAATCAAACATTACATATTCCATCATTAATGAGTATGGGTTTTCTGTAAATCCTAAAAACCCAGATATACTTTCGCGTTTCATTTCAAAAAGCAACTTTGCTTCCTTAAGAAATCGGTCTTTGGCAATTGACGATTCGCCTTTAAGCTTTTTAACAACAACTGTCTCCTTGTCATAAATTGCGCGGTGTATAGATCCATAGCTACCACTGCCAATTTCCTCCACGTTTCTTAATGAATTCCAGCTAAATGTTGGCAAACCATGATCGATTCGTCTTTTCTTAATGAGCGATGGAACTTTAAAGCTTCCCAGTTTCGACATTTTAGTTCGCAATTAGGCACGAGCACGCGCTCGACTTTTTTATTCAGGATTCAAACCATGAATTTCGTTCGTTTAGACTTTAGACACTTACACAATAGATAGTTAACATCGGCGAGAACTTTGAAGTGTCGTAATGAGAAGAAACGCTTCAAGTATCAGTTAAACTAGTCCTTTCATTAACTGTGACTGTCAAAAGTATAGTGATAAATGAAATAACATTACCCTGTCAGTTATATGACATCATAACTTGTATTTAATTAAGTCAAGTCAGCGTGTTCCCCAACGACAAGTAAGAGTTATTTGAAAGCAAATTTTTCATGATATTTACCATTTTACCTTTCAAAACATAACATTTTGTCACTAAATACGTCACGTTTTGCACTTTTTGCGCGTGTCAACATACAATTTTTTAACGAATTTTCAAATAAGATTTGCGCGCTGCAGGCAAGTTTTCTTTGCACAAACAACATGTTTCCGGGTTATTTAAATATCTAACAATTTGATGAATTCGGTCGTTGAAATGGTGTACACAGTTCCTTAGATTTGTGAAAGATGTTGTCTACACTGTAAATTTCAAGGAGTTGAAACAACTCTAAAAGAGTTCTTCTGTCATCGTTTTTGGTGACAGAATAAAACACTCGGCGGAGTTAATTCAACTCCTCGAAATTTACAGTGTATGCAAAGAAAACTTGTATTGACAGCGCGCTAATCGTTATGTATTTAGTGCCAAAATGTTATGTTTTAAATATATGTATCATGAAAATTTTTGCAGACTCAACGCTTACATAGCGGATAATACAGTATAGACTATCTCTATAAAGCGACTAAGCCTATGGGCTGTGGCAAGGTGTTCGCACTGAAAGCGATTAGCCAATTACTGCGTAGGTGGTATTCTTTGTCAAACCGCAAGTATTTTTCTCAAATTATCCGTTTCCGTTGGCGTCAAGTCGGCATTTCTTAAAGGCTTTATGCAACGAATTTTTCGATGGTGAGATTTTTGCATTACGTTATAGAGTTAATCTTTGCACTGGTTCGAAAGATGCAAACCGTTTTCCTAAGTTCCAAGTAGTTTTATTTTTATAAGCCTTCAAAGTCGCGAATTTTGCCACTTTCTTTCCAAAAAAAAATTACCTTTCGTGATCGGTGGTGTGACGTCACAGTAAGGAGTTGTCAATTTCATGCTGCAATATGGCGACTACTTCAGGAAGCGCTGTGGCCAAGTTTTCTCGATATTATGGCCGATCTTGCGTTGCTGGTACACACAGCGGTGCCAGTTGTACTAACACGCAGTATACTGAGGGTGTTTCTATGCATTGTTTTCCTGACAAAGAGAAATATCCAAAGCAGCATCGAGAATGGTTGCGTTTTGTTCGGCGACACCGGCCCGGCTTTGTTCCTTCGAAACATTCACCTCTGTGTTCTATTCATTTCGAAGACAGTTGTTACGTTACTCGGAGAGACATAGCAAAAGATTTAGGAATTAGAGTGGTGCTTAAACCAGACGCTGTTCCAACAATCGATGCAGCAATAAAAGCCGAGGAAAGAACGGCAACGATCAGAGAACGTAAACAGGTATAAAATAGAATGACGCCATATTTTGTATGTTGTTTAAATATTATATATATATCATGTTTGTCTGGCGTTTCGTTTGTCGCCGCAATGATGTTTTCTGCTACGAATAAAGGCGTGTTTTATAATTTCTCAATATTTCAGGTGATGAGATCTCTTGTTCAAGAAGAAACGTCGAGTGCTGTGACTTCTCAAGCCAAGTCAGAAGCTGTCGAAGTTGAAGGCGAAGCCACACAAGAGGTGCACGAACACGTAGCGTCAAAACCACAAGAAACTGTAGAAAATCCAGTCGAAGAAAAGAAAGAACAAATCAAGTCGTTAAAAAAGAAAATCCACTCCATGCAGAAAGAAAATTGGGCTCTCAGAAAACAAAAAAGATCACTGCAGACTGCATTTAATAAAGTTAGTTTTCCTTGCCAGTATAAAAACTCTATTGAGACTATAAATTTGAATGAAATGCGTGAATGAACCCTGAAATAAATGTGTAAAGAATAATTTTTATGGGTCAACAAATACTTTCCAAATAATCTATCTCCATATAGGAGCAACCTTAATCCTATACATGCACAACTTTCCTCTTAAAACTTGCGTTATTTTTATTCTTTTAATTTTGTAGGCGAAAGAAATGGAAGACCAGCCAAGCACAAGCAAGAAGGATGAATTGTCCACAGAGGCAGAGCCCTACTTGGAGGACTTTAATGTGGAGGAGCCAACAGATGCTTCCACAGAGGATACGGATTGGTCGTCAATGGAAAGTTACCATCTATCAGCAGATGACTCTGAGGATATTGATGACAATGGCGACAATGTTGACATGACGAGAAACACTGTAAGGTACAGTATGGATGTTAACCATTAGGCTGCAATGGGCCATTCCATTTAATATAGCCCGACCCACCCTATTGAGGGGTCCCTTCATAACCCCTTAGGATATAAAAAATGGGATCCCCCTTGGATGCAATTTGTGGAAGTTATCCCTGAGGATATCTTACTAACACCTTTAGGATATCGCTTTTTCCCTCTTGGATATCAGCAATGAAAACACCTAATTTTTGCCATTTTTTAAAAAATCTCTCAGGCTACCCTGTAGGATAATTGAAGATGAAGACATTTATAAATCTTAATTATACATTTGTTTTGTTCAGTGTGGATCCAAATACAGAGCCACAAGATGAACCCAAATTCACTGTGTTTTTTGGCATGCTTCTTTGTCTATTCAGCATGTTCTGCTTCAAATGCAAGTCAAAGAATCCATCTGCAACCGTTAAAAGAATTGGCACTATGGCAACTGTGGTACAATCATGCAAGAAATGTGGTGATAATTTTGTATGGAGCAGTCAGCCCCTTATTCAAGGACGACACCCAGCTGGAAACATAATGTTAAGTTTTAGCATCTTGATGTCTGGTGTAAACATCAGTCAAGCTTTTTTTATGTTTAAGCACCTTGGCCTAAAAGTAATTTCCCCTCGAACATACTTTTTCCACCAGAAGAAATTCCTGTTTCCAGCAGTCTTCCTCTACTGGGAAAAATATCAAAAGGCTTTGCTGGATAAAATCAAGGGTTTGACAGGTGCTGTTGAATGGTCGGGAGATGGCCGATTCGACTCAATGGGGCACAATGCAAAATATGGAGTATATACCATGTTTTGTAATTCAATTTCAAAGTTGGTTCACTTTGAGTTATTGCAGGTATAATCTCAGATTGCAGTATACTGTAGTCACCTGATTATGCAAAATATATTGTCTATTGCAAAAAGCATTATTTTTATACACTAGCTCTCAAATAGTAAAACATCTTTTTAAAAGCAATGCTAAATATAACTATGTTTTCTTATCTCCAAAAGGCAAATCAAACAGGGAACAGTAACGCGATGGAACTGGCTGGGGCTAAATCCTATTTCAAGTATCTCCAAAATCTGGGCATAAAAGTTTCCACGTTTGTAAGCGACAGGCATAAGGGCATCGCAAAATGGATACGTGAAAGCCAACCTGACACTCGCCATTTCAATGACCTATGGCATGTCGTGAAAGGAATCACAAAGAAACTAATAAAAGCTGGAAAAGAGAAAGGAAATGAAAAGTTGCTGGTGTGGGTGAAAGCTATCCGTACTCATTTGTACTGGTGTGCCCTCTCTACAAAGCAAGGTTTTGGTGACCTGATTATAGCAAAATGGAAGTCTGTGATCAGACATATTGCAAATCTCCATACCAACCATCCAGATTCCCTTTATGCTAATTGTTCTCATGGGCCACTTGAACCACGTGACTGGATTAAACAAGGTGATCATGTAACTGTAGATAATAACTCATTATTTTGCAGCAGTTCATTTGATGAGAAAAATTCAGTGAGATATCATGCAGCTTTATCTGGTAGGAAGCTGCAGTCAAAATATGGTAGAGTAGTAGTTCTGTTGAGGGAGCTATAGCTCAAAGTCCCTAAGCAAACTTGTGTTGGAGGTAGGGGGTAAAGCCAGTCAGAAAGTTTTCAATAATTTGTTTATTTTGTAATAGTGGTAACATTTTACTGTATTTTTTACATGTAGGTACTCAGGCCCATGAAAGATTGTGTGGGATCCTTTTGAAAACAAGAACAATCAAGGATATCAAGATGGTTTCTTCTGATGCCCAAACTAGCTGCCTGGAGGGATTTCACTCGACCCTAAACCATTGGCATCCCAAAATGACTCACTATTCATGGCTTGGAACATATTGCAGGTATTAATCATGTAGAATATCTCACAGTTGTAGAAGATATAGGAGGTGGATTCATATAAGCTGCACAAAGTAAGATGCATTGCAATTTGCAGCCAAACTGGTCAATTAATTTCGAATCCTGCCTTTAACTGATGGAAAACCTGCAGATAATACGAAAAAAGGTTCGTTGAATTATTTTGAAGTTTCAGTATCCCAGTAATAAACACATTTTCTATCTTTAGGCACATCTTAGCCATCATGCACTTTAATGAAAATGTGCAGCGAGAGAAATGCCAAACCAAGGCTGGAACAGTCTACTACAATGTTATTTACCCAAAATACAAGTTTGGTGAAGAGGTTGTTCGGGAGATTGCTGTACCACCTACATATGGAAAGTTAAATAAAACTAAAATGGTTCACCATTTTTATGAGTTTAATGAGTCAATGAAAATGTTGTTCTTCAATGAAAATGCTGTTCTGCACACCTACCTGTCTAATCCCATACAGGGCCGTGCCAC